AATTGAATTTCGGCCGGATTTAAATTCATCTATTTTAACCGGTTAAAAAAAATCTTTAACCGGTTAACATGTTAACCATTTTAACCGGTTAATTAACCGGTTAAAAATTAACCGGTTCCAACCTCTACTTAGTTGTATTTCATGTCATTTGGGAACGGTATTTTTTTTGATTGTGTTGCAATTACTAATTTGTTTCATTAACAAATTTAATTCGCCGATAATTTGAATTATTAAAATTTAAAGTTTTTTTTGTATTTGTGTCATTATCAAGTTTATGAGAAATATTAATATAACGACTCTTTTTTTAAAAAAAAAAATACTTACGAACAGCTAAGTCATTTAACTTCAAACATAAAATTTCCAAAATTCGTCGTAATGGAAGCTTTTCTCCAAAAGTTCTTAGGAGAGTCGTAGTCACATTATCAGTTTACCTGATAATTCGGTCACCAGATCAAGTGCATCACTTAGGATAACAATTTATTGTACATCCCGGTAAATATATAATTGTTAAATATAGGTTATGATTTTGTTATTCGATTTTTGAAAATCTAATCCATCTTTATTTATACCATACATTGACTAGCTTTATAATAATAACTTAAAAAAGATAATTTCAATTTACTCTGACATATACTAACTGTATTTGCCATATTTATTGATTTAAAATAAACATCTGATAATCCGAGCCTGGTAAAATTTCAAGAACTAAACAAAGCTTTCCTTCTTATGATAAATCGATGTTTTCAAGTCCATCAGTGATTTTCTGGGGTTTCTCATCAGAATCAATCTCTTCGGATAATCTATTGTAAGTTTCTTCGCCAACTAAAATCGCAAAAATTATATGAGTAACAATAAAAAATATTTAGAACAATTTCATTCGATAATATGAAATAAAATAGTTACTGGTTTGAACAATGGATTTTTTGTCAGAATTCGGAGAGAACTCGTGGATCAACTCATATATTTGATGGTCAATGTCTATGGGAAACCGTTTATTTTTTTTCGAATACGTATCGATAAAACAGACACCTAGAACCGTAATGACACTCAAATCATTTTTGGTTTTTTCCATAAGTAAATTTCGATATTTAATAGCTTGTTCTTTGGCTTTCTTTCTATTTTTCATGATTTGCTTCGGAGTATATCCACTTCTTTTTGTTTCAACCGCTACGAGAAATCCATTATTATCTGCAAAAATCAAATCTCCTTTGTGCCCCTCAATTCCATATTCAAAATCGTATAAATACTCAAATCCCGGTAGCCATTTATCATTAATTTCCTTGATTAATTTATCTTGCAATTCCGCCTCTTGTTTTAACTGTTTGTTTTTTAGATACTCTTGTAATTTAATGTTCCATTCCTTAATTTTTTCTTTGTGAAGGGTTTTCAGGTTCAACCTGTCTAAATCGGGATAGTAACTTTGCAAAAATCGAAAAATTGCTACAAATATGCCGAATCCCATTTGTAAATTTCGCGGTTATTGCCAAGATACATCGGTAAAAACAAATGTTCTCGTCGCCCGGTTCCTTTTCAAATTGAGTAACCTTCTGATTATCTTGGACGAACCGTAAAATTTTTTTGCATTTACTCAAAGTCCAATCTACATTCTTAATGTCAAATTGTTCATCTAAGATTATATCTATTTTGAACGTTTTAGTGAAAAAACGATAAATGTTTATAATAAAATAAAATACAAAGCCTGTAGTCTTTTTTAATGCTTCCGAATTGGTGGCACGTATGCAATGTTTATGATTTTGCCTTCATTAATCTGAATATTCGAATCATCAAATTCATGTGATCAACGCCAATCTGCAGGTTTCAAACGAGCTAAATCTAAATCTACCACCCGTATTATGTTGATCGTACACCCCGAAATGATAAAACCAATAAATAAAATAAAAAAATAAAACATTTTAAAAACACCTTCCACAGAAGCGATTCAAGAAGTATAAGGTATTAAAGAAAAGTTCAAAAAAATAAAAAAGTTCGATCGTTGCAGCCTGAAGCGATCGAAACTGATATAAATTGAATAAATAAAAACTGAAAAAAAAAAAATTAAAACAAATTTAAAAACTAAAAAACAAAACTGAAAAAATATACCGTATACTTCTGATCTAATGAGCGAAAAAAAGGGGAAATAGAAATTATTAAAAAAAAATATCGAGATCATTAATAAAGCGATCGAATCCCCCAAAAAATGAAAAAAAATACCTTCAACAGATTTTATACTCGAGTAACACTTAAAAATTTTGAGGTTTGTTTATATAATCAAAATCAATGATAAATTTATTTTAAAATAAAATGGCAGCTTTTACGGATGATAACAATAAAGTAGAATCTTGGTACTTGTGACTGATTTTTACGAAAAATATAATTTGTTTCAATGTTTTATTACCAGTATGTATTTAATTCTATTTTTTATCAAAATATTTTAATTAAAAAAAATATATTTATTTTATTAAAAATAAATGAAGTAATATTATATTTGCGAAGGATGGCTAAAAAGATCAAGTGCGTCATTATGGTTCTTTTTTACTCGTAAAATTATGCTTGTTGCCAGATATTCCAATTCTAATAAAAAAAACTAATATACTTTATTAAGATATTCGAATTCAATGAAAATTAGAATTTTTATTCCACTTCTACTGTTGAGTATGATTTCATGGCTTATACAACATGTATAAAAATGAAAATTTCCAATGTTTTCATTGACATTAATTGAATATCTATTATATTGCAGCCTCCATAACTTCTTCTATGGTCAATTATATCTGTGGAGAAATGCTATTGGATTCCATTAATGTAAGGGCATTATACTTTTTGAACGCGTCATCAACTGGAATTTGTTAGAAGTATCGAGTGTAAATACTATTAATTGATTCGATCTGAATAAATAAATTGCTCCGAATCTTATGAAAATTTATGTATTCGAGTCCCAAAAAATACGCATCCAAATAGGAAAAATTAAGATGAAATGTACAATACTTGACTTTCTTCATTAAATATTTTGATACATATTTAACCCATAAATAATTCGATATAACTTCTCCATTTTATTGTAATGCAATTAATAAATTATTGTACAATTAAAAAATAACAAAGTATGAAAAAATTTGACATGCAATAACAGAAGAGTCAGAAGTTTTCATTTAATACAGACCGACAAAAAGACTTTTTACATAAATACAGTTAGAATGAATTAAAAATTATGAAATTTTGACATCGTCATTATTCGTAGAACAAGATGATAACCCAAAAATAAAACATGAGTTGATTAATATTAATAAACAGAGAAAATAAAGATTAATTAGCTTATTAAATTTTAATATTTACTTTATAAAAAAAATACCATTTGGGCATAGTAAATTTATAAACTTTATACAACTCGCCAGTGACAATTATGACATGTTGATCCAACAATATCCTCTAATTATACTAAAAGGAAGTTCAAATAAAGTTTTCAAATATTTTGATTTTAATTTGAATAAATTAGCAAAAGTCACCTCCAAAGTTCAGGGCCGCGTATTACTAATGATTTCTTATTAAAGCTGCTTCCGAACTTCGGAGACGAATCACAAGGATTATATTTTTTCAAATTTTTATTTGGAGCAATTATGGGATGATTTTTTTTTCCTTTTTCACCTTCTTTTTATTGTGTTTATTTTTGATTATTTTTTTTTACCTTTTTTTAGATTCTTTTCGGAGGATCGATCTGATTAGTTGTTATAACTTTTATTAGTTAAAAACTGCTTACAGTATTTATTAATTTATCTTTAGATGATATATTTAGGCGAATATTGACGAATTCTTTTCGGGTTGTATCACTTAAGTTAGCATTAAATTATTTTTTAATTCATTTTGTCCAAACATTAAACGAAATTATATTTAAAAAGCGATTATCTTTCTATTTAAATTAATTCATAATGTTAAAAACGAGCTCTCACGAAAATGGTGGTGATTTACATAATGGCTTTTCTGTAATTTTCGTTATTTTGTAGGTGGAATTTACCTCAATAAAAATAAGTCTTGTTACGAATTTAAAAAGGTTGGACAGAGAAACTCCAAATATCCAATTTTAGAAAGCTGTTAACTTTATTTGGTGATACAAGAAGCGAGCAGACTAGTTTATTTAAGGAACTATTTACATTTGGAAAAAATTAAAACCGAGGGCTGAGGTAATTTTGCATGTCAATTAACTATACAACTAAAAAAAAAAAAAATGGTTTTAAAAATCAATTTAGAAAAATCCGTAAAAGACTTGGAAAAGAGAATTAAAGAATTGGAGCAAAGTAACGAGGGGTTACGTTCACAATTGAAATATTTTGAAGAAAAGGTTAGAGAGCGAGAAGGATATATTAATAATTTAGAAGAAAAGGTTAGGGAACGAGAAGAAGAGTCCAAAGAAAACCAAGAAATTATAAATGAATTAGAAAAGAGAATCCGCAATCTTGAATTAATTATTTATGATGACATGATTGTTAGTTTAATTATTACAGATACTAATAAGGATAACATATTGAACTCCTTAGGCGCATTGCAAAGATATCGAAAATTGACAAAACTCTATTGCTCTCAAACTCAAATAACAAGCTTACCAACATTACCAAACTCGCTAAAGAGACTCGATTGCTCTCAATCTCAAATAACAAGCTTACCAAAATTGCCAAACTCCTTGACGGTACTCTATTGCTCTCAAACCCAAATAACAAGCTTACCAACCTTACCTAACTCCTTAACGATATTCGATTGCTCTCAAACTCAAATAAAAAGCTTGTCGATTTTACCAAATTCCTTAAAGGATCTCGATTGCTCTCAAACGCAAATAACAAGCTTATCAACTTTACCAAACTCCTTAACGGGATTCAGTTGCTCTCAAACTCAAATAACAAGCTTACCAAAATTACCAAACTCCTTAACGGAACTCGATTGCTCTAAAACTCAAATTACAAGCTTACCAACTTTACCTAACTACTTAATGATTCTCGATTGCTATGAAACTCAAATAACGAGCTTACCATCATTACCAAACTCCTTAACGGAATTCTATTGCTTTCATACTCAAATAACAAGTTTACCAACATTACCAAACTTTTTAACGATACTCGATTGCTCTCAAACTCAAATGACAAGCTTACCGAATTTACCAAACTCCTTAACGGAACTCGATTGCTCTCAATCACAAATGACAAGTTTACCAACATTGCCATACTCCTTGTTGGGACTCGTTTGCTCTCAAACTCAAATAACAAGCTTACCAATATTACCATACTCCTTAACGGAACTCGATTGCTCTCAAACTCAAATAACAAGTTTACCATCATTGCCAAACTCCTTAAAGAAACTCTGGTGTTCTAACACTCAAATAACAAGCTTACCAACATTGCCAAACTCCTTAACGGAACTCGTTTGCTCTCGAACTCAAATAACAATCTTACCATCATTACCATACTCCTTAACGGAACTCGATTGCTCTCAAACTCAAATAGCAAGCTTACCATCATTGCCAAACTCCTTAAAGAAACTCGTGTGTTCTAACACTCAAATAAAAAGATTACCAAATTTACCCGATTCCTTAACGATAATAGACCTTGAATATTTAAAATTTCGATAATCAAACATATATCCTACCCATTTAGCAATTTGGCTGATTTATTTTAACTAAAAATTATTACTTTCAACTTAAATAATAAAATGATCAATTTGACTTTATTGTTCAAGCATTTATTATTAATTATGCAATCAAGCAAAAGAAACATAACGCTTATTGATTACCTAAGCATTTCTTTTTATCAATAAAATATATATATCTTGATAAGACGAAAAAAATGAATTATGTTATAATACTGAATCTATTAAAAAATATTTAACTTACAAATAGGTTGTTGTTGATAATATCGTAACATCAAGAATAATTTAATTCAAACAAATTTTTGTATTAAGTTGCTTAATCTGGGAAAAGAAATTTGATATTTAAAGTTTAAAGCAGTACAATCTTTTGACAACATAGCTTTCTTTAAATTTTACATCTTCAAATAAAGCTCCCATTTGTTCATTGTTCAACATTAACTTGTTATTGTGTAATGCATGGTATGCAACCAAAAAAATTATTTTTTTTGATGCTATAATTAGAAAATGCAAAATCTTTGTTATTGATTCTTTACTTTTTCTTTTATGTTTTTTTATTCTAATCCAGATTTTCTTTTTTCTCTTATTCGGTTTAATTCAGGGCATTTTTTTAGTCTAATCTGAATGATTTTATCTAGTTCGATCGGTCTGTCACAGCTAAGATAAGGTTTATTTTTTTTACATTGTATCAGATTACTAATCTTTTTTTATTTTCTTTTTTTATTTAACCAATTTTAGGTTTAGATTCAGATTTCGATTAGATTGTCATATATATGTGATCAAGATGATTATAAGAGAGTTCAAATAATTCACTGCATTTATAGCTAATTATCTACTTCTCCAGACAAATTATTTTCTAATGTTGATAATGTGCACAAAACCAGTACATAATTATGAACATGCATTGTAAGTTAAGCCTTGAATGCAGTAACTGAACATCAGAACCCTAACTATGACTGTCCGAGAAGCCTTGCCAATGACTTCATCTCCTTCTGGAAGTCGCGTTTACAGCCTTGCTTGGAGAAGGCAAAATCGATGAAAGAAGCATAGAATTTGTAGCTGCTGCGCTTGATCAGAATGTTCTCCTTGCGAATATCGTTGTGGACAAAGCCATGGCGATGGATGGATGACAGTGCTGTTTGAATCACCAGATACTCCTGATCACTCAAGCTTTCTGCATCTTCCAGGGGCCTACCAACAATATCTGTTGCAATGATAAATAGTCCACCAGCAGTGTATCCGGCACCCTTGAACCTCGGAACACAATCTCCCTGCAGGTCCTTCAAAGCATTATATACCTCGACCTCATTAAGTAATTCCTTTTCATAGTCCGGATGTTGCCACAAGTCACATATTTTCAATGCAACTAGTTCTCCGTGCAGAATAGCCTTGAACACTGTCCCAGTGCGGCACGTTCCAAGGACGTTGAATACTCTGAAGCTTCCCCAGTCAAAGAATTCCAAGGGCACATGCTCTTCTTCTCTGTTCGATGGATGATTTGGGCGAGCCATCACTCTGTTTCTCTTGCCTCCTTTTCTTCCCCAGCCTGCCATCGGCATCCTATGTCGGCTGCTTCTTCCGGCGTCCTGACTGCCTGCTTTTCGTTTTCGTCCACCATCACTGTGTGAAGAATCATCACCATCATCATAGGATGAATCATCATCGTCATCATCAGATGATGGATCGTCATCAGGAGGCGGTAATGGTTGTGGTGATTGTGGTGCAGAATCACAGTCAGGCTTGTTGCGAGCCAGAAGGGTGAGATAGAAAAAGCATTGGAACAGTGTTGGCCGTTGATTGTTGTATTGAATGGGGGGTGAGATGCAGAGCTTACCGGGTTCTTGTTTGTATAGAAACCAGGTTTTATCATAAGTAGTGAGAGCTTCGAACTGGAGATGGTTGTGTGAAAGGTATCCGAAAACCTGCCTCAGTTGATTGTAAACGCATATTGGAGAGGTGATTTCGTTTCGACGCTCGGTAAGATTCTGGGCATATGTTGTCACAAGGTTGTTCGCAGATAAAGCCCACTTTGTTTTTACCTCGATAACAAGACGTAGGACCGCGTTTGAATCTTTCTGTATGAAATCTGGCTCTCCTATGACTCTCTCTAAAAGACTGTGGCGACCAAATGATTCCTGTGGTTCCAGCAAAATATTGAGAAAACGAAACACATTTTCGTCAAGTGCTTACCGTACAGTCTCTTCCAGTACTTCTGGCTCTGTTAATGTAGCTAAGACGAGGCGGGCGGAGCTCAAGAAAGTCAGACTCACTGAGAAGAGCTGCAAAAAAAAACAGCGTTATTTCTTGTACAATAACCTACTCAACCCTATGTACACACTACTCTATGTCCCCAACGCCCGAGTCACAAAGCACTTACCAGAAAGATTTCTCAAGTTATATATAATAACTGTAATGTCTTCAAGGTCTGTAACATTACGAGTTCTCAGAAATTCTTCGATCCTTTCATCTGGACGAGAAGCCCAAGAAATTGGCTCTGATCTTGCACTAACAAAATGTGTGGCATATTCAGGAAGATTTATACGGTCAAGGAAGACGGCCCAGTTTTTGTTAGCATCTGTCATGGTTGATTCTGCGGAAAGATGTGCTGCATGATGTGATCTAATATTTTAATGCTGATCAGTGACTTAGTCAATAACGGAACTTTCTAGACCTTTTCACAATGTAACTATTGTTTCCCTATATGCAGAAGGTGACCAATGATAATCAATGCGCAGAAATTCGCGTTTGTCTAATGATCGTATGATGAATAAACGGATATTTTATTATAAAAACAGCATTGGTTAACTTCAGAAATCAACCACAACGCAATAAATATCATCAAATCAATACATCGTTTAAAGCAATAAAACAAGTCTGTCAATTTCCACGAACAACACTACGAAAAATGCTCACATTCACAAACGAATTCTTTTTTGGAGTATTTATTGGCTTCGTTCTCGGCCGATTGCTAAATGGCATAATCTGTAACGGTCGGCTTAATAATACGGGAGCCCTAATTCAATCGACGAATTTGAAATCCA